AAGTAGTGTGGGCGTTGTGCTGATTGTGTGATACCACAGTGACGTAGTGACATTGGTGGTGAGCGTCGGCGATGTTGAGATGTCGTCAGATTATTGGGAGGTGATTGTGTATTGAGAGGGTATTGTGGCAGACAATCGTTGTAGAGAGTGGTGTGGATCACTTTGCTAACGGCTCGTTGTGATAGTTTCTTATCTGAAAACGAGAGTTTATACGGTTTTCTTAAGTGAGCCATACATCAATTTCACTCAAGGTCAATTTGACTCAGACCCCTTCACACCTGTGTGAACCCACACTTGCTTGACCCTGTTCTTTGAAAGTTCACTGAAAAGGTAGAAAAAATGTGTGTTTGCACGTGTGAATGGAAGTCTGACATGAGTTTGGGATTGTATTGTCTTCTTTTGAACTTGTTGTTTCATTTGATGTGCAGGTAGGTAGACGGATGCCTGAAAAGAGGAACCTGACCATGTCAATGGAGATGAATAGAAGGATGATTGTCTTCTATTTCTCATTTGCATGAATGTTGAAGGGATGGAAAACCAGTGGACGACGAAAAGGAATTTGATCATACAAAGAAGAAAAAGTTGATTGGAGGACATAAACTTTTTCTTGAGGTTACCCGTTCTTTCCCGAATGACCCTTCCTGTCTATGCCCGTCTGTCTAAATTATTTTCTCTTATGTGATCTCCTTTTTTGTCTAAGTTACCCTTGACGTCAGACGACGAGAGATCGTTTTGCCCGCCGTGGTAGACGTTTTTCCCTTTCCTATGAGGCATCTGAGGCGGGGGTTCGTTGCCTTAAGGGCCGACCCTACTATCGAATCGGAGTGGACCACTTGTGCAGGGGGATACCATGTTGTTGTGATGGAGCTAGCCCAACTTCCAAGATCCGATGTTCGCTTCGGCGAGGACGAGGGGTATCTCAAACCACCTCCTAGGGAAAGGACATGCGTGTACTCATAGAAGAGTCTTAAGTTTCCTGACGCCTCGCGTTAAGGGGAACTGCCATAGCATACCCCTCCGGTGGCCGTCTTAGGAGTCACTAATGTATGGGGAACTGGCGTCAGAAGAAGCTCAGCTCATGTAGTTACTAGTCTTGGATGGTGTGCGAATAGACACTACCTTCGCGGATAGGTTTGCACCATAAGAACTGCAAACCTGGGGAAGTTGAGATGAGTTGCTAGGAGGTAGCGACTAGAGCAATGCTTTGAAGATTCTTATGATGAAGACGGGTACTTCATCATTCGTGGGACAGAAAGAGTCATTATTGCCAAGGAGGACAAGGCAACCAACAAAATTTGAGAGCGGATCGGATTCCCCGTTTTCGGCGGGATAACCAGTGCATCGGTTGTCTAAATCGGTCGCTAATTTGAATAGTGGTCGCCGGATTACTTGCAAATATCATTCACACTAAAGTTAGAAAGATAGTGAAGTCACCATTAAAGCAATGGTATCCTAACTCTACTTGAGAATTGAGAGATGTTTGCGTTTCTTTTCTAGCAGTCAGTATGAGGCAAAATGAAATAACTTGGCAACACATCTCATCAAGTCGAAAAGTTGTGTCAGCTCAACCATTTGGCAGGCAGAGTGGAGATATCTTTGTCAGACGTCATTTGAGCGTCGCTATGCATGTTAAACTACCAGTCCCCCCCCCAGCCGAAACCCCTCGGCCCGGTGAGTTAGGACCGGGTTGTATGGAGAGGCGGTGACCACCGTTCGTCACAGGCGGGTCCAATCCCACCATTCGCAAGAGGCAACTTCGCCGATCTTTTGTGCTTAGAAGAATTCATCAAAAGGTCTGCAAATTTGAGGGTCCGTAGATTAGGTCGTGATCTTTCAGGGAAAAATATCAGAAAAAAAAAATCATTTTGACCGTCAAATATTTGCCGCAACGATTTCGTGCATTTTCGTAAATTCCATTTTTTTCAGGTCCGATCGGATTTCCACTCTGTACTACCGATACCCCTGAAATTTCTGACGTCAGGGGGCTACCAGTACCCCCGAGGTTTCTAACGTCAGGAGGATCGACAGTTTAATCATGCTTTTATTTTTTTGTTGATAAGTGTTATTTGAAGACGAATCAACTCATGTTGGCTCATCATTGGATGACAAGACAAGTCGACTTATGTCGACTCATTCTGAATGAGTGGTATGCGTGCTGAATTGTATTATGTATGAATTGATTTTAAGAGATAAGTCAACTTACGTTGACTTGAGTCTTCTTTATTTGAAAGTGTTTTGTCTGAGCAACTCCCGATTGTCTTTGAAAGAAGGGACTAAGATTGATTGAGATTTCCTTATGCTTAGGTTATCATGTCCTAGTCGACTGATGTCGGTCCGCTTCCTGAGACATCAGCGGCCCAGGGACGAATGACGCTCGGGTCCGCTTTGGCGTTCAATCGCGCGTACCTATGCTACAATGAACGAGCGAATGCCCTCGGTCGGCCTACCTCTATAAAAATTTTCGCATGTGGGTCAGTAGCTCGGCGGGGATACGCCCCTAAGGGTGGTGACAGTCCCTTAAGGAAGGCAAGTTGTGCCCCGCGAGAACCTATCATGTCGTAGGGGACCGCAAGATTTACAGCTGGCGCACTCGGCAACTGTGTCGTCCCGGAATCGTCTCTAAAAAGTTGAAAGCCTAAGTTTCTCCCCCGTGACGCGGCCAGGAGGGCCCTCGCTCGCGTGGGGGCTGATGCGCTCGACAACTGTGTATCTTTTTAACAGAGAACGGGGGAATTAAACTCTCATTGAATCCCGTTAAATTCAAAAAAATCTCGTTGAATTCGCGTTAAACGCGAAAATGGGCCGCTCCCGCGCTTTT